CATCGACGCGAGTCCTACCCAAATTATCATTTCCCTTTCGCATCTGGTGGGAGTAGAAAAGTTTGGCGAAACGCACTCAAGTTTTCTTTCATGACGTCAATGAATGCACCAGATATTGCCTAATGGTTCACTTATTTTTAGGACAATCAGCTGTAATTACTGCAATTGCACGGCCTCATTTGTTCCCATATTTTTCGGTTATGGATCTATAGAGGGCTGAAGGTTGTGCTTCAGTTGCTCAGACCTTAAAACGTTACTGGAAATGTAACGTGAATAAAAGATGTACTGCAGAAATTAGGAACATCTTCGTTTTAAGAACTACTGAGTAAAAAATGAATGCAAACGAATTGGGGGAGAATTCGACAGGACCATAGATGAGAACTGTCGTGCCACATAGGACAAACGAGGCGTGAAACCTGAAAAAATTTAGAAAATACCGCATCGTGCAACTGTTTTCACTTGGTTGGGGTATAGAACGAGTGCAATACCATCGACTCATCGAATCAATTCCGAGACAACAATGATAGAACAATGATATACTAGGCGGGGTCCGCGTGTGGGCTCGAATTCGACCGATGCCACTGAAGTTGTCACAGTTCAATCATAAAACCTGAGGACATCGATCTAAGAAAGATATTTGTTTCTCCGTCATTCATAAATTAATTTATTCAGGAGGGAAGACAAAAAAGAACATTGTGCCAAACGTTACACGCACTATCCCCGATAGGACGACCACCAGACACTGTTGTATCAAAACTCGACTTGGTCAATAAATGCCTGGGAAATGTTTCAATTCAAGTGTTATTCTGTAAGACCCAATTAAATAAATATGCCGGATCCGCGGTGGTCCGATAGACGTTCATTGAATCGATGTTAGTGTCTTAATAATTATTTCCATATTCTGAGCGATAAGAAATACAAGAGAAGATCATTTTGTTTCGTCAGTTTTGACCAAATGAACATCGACTTAGAATTGCCGCATTATTTTACTCCTAAATATACTCATTAGTGAAGTATTTTTTACAAACAAATCGGTTATTCAGAGGATGATTAAACATCTCGCAACACATTGGATTAGAATGGCTAGGGAAAGCAAAAAATTCATCACAAATTCAAAGAGAAGATATTTTACTATTTGACGAAGTGATGGTCTGGGGCGTGGAATAGAAGATTGCGTTCGCACAGGATATAATTTACTTGTATAGGGTTTAAATACTACTACGTATACAAGGCTTGCGTGTAGAGGTGCAGTCTTCAAATTTTCCAAAGCATAAAATAGGCAAGCCATTTGGCTATAAGCCAAAACTACAAGTGAAATCGGACTAGGTGTTATGCACCGGACAGAAAAAGAAGAGAACGATATGTACATGAAATGGATTAAAGACGACAGAACGACCAAACGTGAAAGTGAAAAAATATCAACGTAATGGAGGGTTGATCATGCCCACATTGGGAGATGTCCGTTTCAGTGAAATACGGGCAAGGTAAGGGTGAATGTTATCTTGCTAAGTGATAGTGCGTGCCCGGGGGAAGGTCTAAACTGGAAACCAGACACATTTATTCAGTCGGATAGACGTGTACGGTGATGTGGTATCATCAGACAACATTGGACTGATCAATGGATGAAATCCATCAAAATGCTTGGAAACAATACAATCCATCAAGACCGTCTTAAAAATGCTATATTGAAGGGAACGCACTTAAAAAATCTAGCAGTGGTGATATGCTCATCAGCTTAGAGACCAGTAAAAGTAGTGGGCAATGGTGCGTGTGGAAGAATGCAATCGGTGATAGATCGAGGGATTGCAATCCGAAAAACGGCAAGTATTTAAATTCTAAAAGCACAGACAGACCACGTGGTAAATCCTTTTTCCTCGTGAGGAAATGGGGAACGTAACTGCAGGGTAATTGTCAAAGTCAGCCTTGGAAATGATATCGTCGTTTATTGAAGATTTCGGTAAGTTACTGATGAAGCCTGTTTTCAACAAAAGAGAAACATCAATACAACTACCGGTATGGAGCTTCAGGGCCCCAAACGCAGATTGACTAAACTGCGGATCTGGAACATCTCTGAGCAGTTGACAGAAACGTTCAAGACCAATGAGGGGAGTCTTATTTACCCCGTCGTCGACATCGTTTCACGCGATGTAGTGGGGACGAATATAAATGTTATTTGTTTACACCTAGGTGTACGGTGAAAAAAATGTACGCTGAAAAGCGAATAAATTAACTTATTGGTAGGAGGTAGTTAGAGCACTACAAAAGTAAATTAGGGTCGTTGGAGATTAAAGAACCCTAAAGTCCAAGACCATACTCGGAAAAACTTTTAATTAGAATATCACATTCAATGAATCTAAAGATATACACATGGAACAAGGTAAGCAAATTTATCCACAGTGGAGTCATCCAGTTTAATAATATTCTCTTGAACACCTTCAATACTGCTAGAGTGCAAACAGTTGTTCTTTGGAATGGGTTCTGTCCGCGTAGAGAGATCTCCAATTATTGGGACTTTTTCAGAGGATATACTGAAAATGCTGATCTCGTTGATAGATAATGCAACCTTTTACTACACTTCGAGAAATATCTAATCAGGTCCACGTGGCTCATTGAATTTTAGATAAAAATTGGAGATTTGAAACATGGGGCCCCGTTTATTCAATTCGTTAGAACAGAAAAATAACAAATACTGCGAGATTGTAACATTTCTTTATATCCCCTCAGTCGCTGCAACGTAAAACAACCTGGTATTTATACAAGCCAGATTTGACAATTACATTGGTTCAGCGGATAATAGTCAGGGTAGAGCGTGGGGGAATCAGTTCCCCGACAGTCAGACTGATTGCGTCAGAAACTGTGCACACAAGATTGGGTTACGTGACTTGAGTAGCATCGACTGACTAAACGCCAAGATCCTGGGATTCATTTTAGTTAATCACAACTTGAACGACAAATGTGGGTCAACGATGTATCCGGTTGTCACTATGTTTCACGACTGATGGCCCTGGATTTCTCTTATCAGATTGACCTCTAGGACTGTGTTGTGTCATTGAGTAGAACCTCCAAAACTTATACCAGATACATAGTATGGCTCTCCTCAGCTGTTAAAAACCGAGAGTGCTTGGGTGTAAAAAATAGCATTTGGATGATTTAACCCTTCTAAATTCGGAGAAGAAATTCTGGCCTACACCGCAGAACGACAACTAGTTTCCATTCACATCTAATTCACGCACTATGTCCATTTGTACTGGAACTGGTAGTTAGTTCACTTCCATGGATCAAATCATTTGTTACTCATGATGAAGTAGTTTTAATTTAGTATCTCTGGGTTATACCGAGAAACACTTCCAAAACTTCGTTTCCCATTCTTTCGTTTAAGTAATCCGGTTTTGCTCCTCTGAAAGAATCAGCTTCGTTTTTTTGTATTCATTCTGACCGTTTTAGTATACTCATTTAACGCATCGAGTTACGCCCTGATGGCGAGTAAATGTTAATCATAATAGCAGCTAAGATGGTCATTGTCTTTCAATAAAATGCAGCTTGGAGTCAAGCACCAGCAATCGGAATGCTCAATTCGGTATCCTGGACTAATGTTCCTCAATTGTTTGGGGCAATTTTTTGCAGTATCAGCATAAGCTAGAAACTGACCATCACGAGCGATAAAAGTGCAGAGATTTCGAAAGCGTGCAGCTATAGAACAACACTTGACCTTGAAATGACAAAGCATTGAGTAAAATGTGAGGACCGAGCTAGTATACCCTGGCGAAACGGTGACTGGCGATGGCAAACAAGGTACGCCCGAATTCGAAGTTTCCGCTCGACACGTGATTGTCACAACGTATTCGGGAGTAGATGCCTCCATGGCGGCAATTTCAGATGACAAACTGTTTCCTCCTTTTGATTGTGAATGATCGGCTGTTTCTTAAGGAAGTTCGATATTCTTTCGCTCTCATTTTCGTTGAATTTATTGACAAAATTTGTTGAGATTAACAATTAAATTAACCAAGCAATGCATCCGGGTTTCAGGTATTCCAAACGTAACTAGTGAATGAAGCTATTCGTTTCTTATGGTCTTACAATCTGCAGCTTCAATGGAGATGTGTTTATCGACTGAATTCCACAATTTGAAGCTGCCCCCTCCCCTGCCTAGAGTAACGCCGAGATTATGTGGCCACTAGAAGTTTTAGAATAATCCTTGTCAATGTGATAATCACAATGATTCGCTGATCAACAAGGGGGTAGAAAAAAAAGCAATATCTGAAACCTGAATACTATTCACAAATTTTATCGAAATTGGGTGAGAGGAAATGCATGAACAATGCACTATTACTAAATAAATGGTCTGTTTGTTGATTGAAGTCCGTCCATTTGCCATAAAGCCTCGAAAACCACTGCAACATCCATATTCATCATCTGCCATTCAAGGTGAGTCTTAGTACAAAAAGGTGAATTATTCTTCCGAACAATAATCCACTCACAGAACCAAGTGGAAAAATATCAATAGAGGGCGATTTCAAGTGATTAATTTGAAGAGGTAACAATCATGCTTTCTTGATGCACAGAGGTTGTTGCATCTTGCTCTTGTCGTGATGCTGAAAGATGCTACTTGATTCCCTGCCGGGACAGTAGATGCAGCAATAAGCATTCCTGAGTGTTAGTCTAGGTCTCTGCTTATTGTCCACCGTTCCCAGTGAACTTAAACCAGTTGCGGACAATGAAACCGCCTCGATGCCTCGTCGGTTTATGTTATTTCACTGAATAAGTGTAAATTCTGCCTTCCTTCTATCAAGCCAATAACAACGTAGGTTATTCAATCTAATAGTATTCATTCCTGTCTCTTCCTCCTGTTGATGCGTCCAACACACCCACCAGGCATCCCATTAAACTCCTTAGATAACTCGAGACTGCTCAAAAAGTAAACACCTGTATCAAGATCCTTCAAGTCATCAACAAGTTTATAAAACGGTTGATACACGGAAGTTGTTCATTTTGTGAATACAAACTTCTTTAGTTAGTTTGTCATTGGTTTTTCATTCGGGACGCCAAACGGCTACTATGACACTAATCTTTCAACTGTGCCGATAAACTTCTCAGCACTATTCAGCATCAGTGAACTTTGCATCACGGTATTGGACACTCAGAAGAGCACAGCAACATGCTCCAATCAACTGCACAACCGTTTGAATGCCGGTATTTTATCTATGCGCATTGTGATTAGTGCCCGCCCCATTGCACTGCGAAAAAAACGACCAAAAATGGAACAATGCCAGTGAATTAAAGCGTTACCAGAAGCATTACACTAGTCACCAAGTGATTATGTCCCAACTAAGGTCGCTTTCTAATTAATAATAATTTTTAAACACTGGTTTTACGTAGGTGTCCATGCCCAATGAGATTTCAAGTTTTCATGCATCAAAAATGAACACTAATACATATTTAGATGGTTCATCTTGGGTCTGTTACATGCATTAGTACATATTGTCTTGGGTTACTTAGAATAAATGAGATTTACCGCTTCTAGCACTTTTGCACACATTCGAACTTTCTCACAAATCAAAATCAAAATAATTTTTTCTTATACTTCATTGAACATCCGTGAGACAATAGCATTTTTTTTAAATTTAAATGCCCAACTCCGTTTGAAACTTTCTAGATTCTAGAACTTTCCCTCAGCTAAACTGCACGGTTGGAAGAAAGTAAATGCCAAATTGGTCGCCGGTTATCATATTCATTGAACTGCGTTAGACTTCATAAATTACCAAATCCAGACAGCTTGAAAACTATGTGTTCAAAGTGGACGTTTCCCCTCCCCTTTCTCGGCCCCTCTTTTCTTCACAGCTCTGATGCACGCGGCCGTATTTGGAAATGTGACCACATTGATTCAACGCATGTATGCCAGACGATCAGCGTATCAAACAAAAAACCAAGATTTGAAAGACTTCACTCGGGCTCATCACATTCCGAAGCCACTAAAACAACGCATGTTGGAATTCTTCCAGGCCATGTGGGCAATCAATCGAGGTATTGACAAAGAAGCGGTAGGTCTTGTGCGGTCCTAAACGACTAGTTTGCACGAAAGATCCAAGTCCACCGAGAGTGAGAAAGAAAGAGAGCAGTTTTCCTTCGTATACCCCGGGCATGAGATCAAAAGCTGAACATGGATTTAGGGATTATAGTTATTTTTCTTTGATTTAATTACAGAATAACTAACTACTTTTGTTATAACTTCACTAGGTGGCGCTCGGTCGAGGACAGTTGTTCGTTGCCAATAACGGTCAGAATATGATTTTGTCATTCATACAATAAAATATCTCATTTGGAACAAGTTTGCAGAGTTCCTGCGCATACACAGTATAGTTGATGAAACGAATTACAATCAGATGCGCATTCTTGTATTCATCATACCGAACAGCAGCAGTCCGCTCCAACACGTCTTGTTTAATTCCGGTCGTTGAAAGAAACCGCTAACTGCATCCTTTTGCGTACTACTCACAACTGAGTAGTATCTCACAACACTTCTATATCAATAAAATTATATTGAAATAAAGGATTCACGAATTGTGCAAATTGTTTACCCATCAAAAGTATTCCGTTGTATAACGCAGCTGTCAGATTAAGTTCCCAAACATTGTGAAGCACAACCGCTGGACCTGTACTATATGCATACATAAACAAGACGCCTAACGTCGGGCCTTTGATGCTATCGTTGTCTGGTTAGTTTGGTTTTATACAGAATCCAAAATGAAAAACTTAAAATAGGTTAAAAAGTTGATTGTTTAGGGGGGGGAAGGATTAGGCTCGAATAATATCACAACCGTTTCTCCCTGGCACATGTTCGCGATGAGAAAAGAAACTCCTGGCGGACTACTACTATCCCCATGGGAAGTTATATATGTTTCCCCCACACCAATAGTCCGCGAGACAGCACAGGCGAGTAGTTCTTTCGATGATAATGTCGATAATAATAGTAGTGGTAATGAATATCATGTACAGCGAGCGATCACGGTGATTTGAAGAGTATTTGGTTTTTCATTCGTCTTCCCGGATGATGCGAATGAAAAAAGAAACATCTCAATTCTGTCATTATCCCTGGTGATACGTGTCTAATTTGTGCTGATATTGTGATTGAAAAAAGAGCAGTAGAGTACACAGCGCTTAACTCTGACAAATGTGGGGAAGGGAACAACAATGATTCGATCCGATGCAGATTGAAAGTGGAATGTGAAGAAACTGGCGCATCAGTAACAGAGATTGATATTTCCGATCCATCCCACGCATAAATTTGCAATATGTATAAATGTGCGTACAAAAAGATAGGATAAATCTACCCAGTAGGAAAGAAAATAATAACATCCGAAAAACGAATGATTTGGATAAAAGTTTATGGTTTTATGGCAGCATTGCGAAGCACTTTATGCTCCAGTATACTTTATTCTAGTCCGATAGGCTTCCGATGATCAATTAATTGGAATACAGAAATGTATAAGAACTCACTTTTAACTCACAGTTGCTTGTGAGTAGTGGTCTGGGCTAGATAATTGACATTAATTTGAACTGACCGGCCTTCGGACTTTGCCTTCAGGCACAATCCTATCCCTGAAGATGTGATATAAACTGTTCAGCACAGAGGTGTAACACGCATGCCTTCCATGCAATGCATCTGGAGTTCGAATCCCGGTAGATATTCACTACTAATGAGCTCTAATAAGAGCGAAACTACAGTCTGTTGTGCTCCTGAGTGTATAGTTGACTGGATGAACTGAGGATTGTGTGTGAAGTTGAAGTCCTAAGGATGATTAGTTAAAATTGACGCAAAGAGAGAGGTTTTGGAGGCGTTATGAAAGTCAGAGAAATCTCAAGGTGAATTACCAGTAGAAGTACGTTTACTAAGGAACTAATTTACCTCAGTAACATTTGTTGGTGCACAGCCAACGTTGTCTTTGAAAAGAGAGTGGGACCCATTTCAATTTACAATCTTTATAGACGTTTGTTTGGGAAGCTCTCTTATTAAAATTCCCATTTTAAAGACAGTGTCAAACGAAGTTAAATCTCAGCTGTATGGTCAAACTTTAATTATTTCTCGGACAATCATTTTAGCATCATCTGTTATCGGATCGAGTTTCTCTAAGATTTTCGGGTGTTTTGTGTTCATTGTCACAAATATTCACATAACACGAACTGGGTCAATCATATCAGGGTTGAAATGTTCAGCAACATCCAATACTCTTAAAGACAACGAAAAACTTATCAAAAAGCCCGTTACCTACAAAAGAAATAAAAGTGAAAGGAACACTCGCGAAACAAATTGTTTTCCATCGTCATCAGTGCAAGCTCGACACTTTGTCAGACATCACGCAAGCGTCTACCCAAATCGCCATTGAATTAGTTACCGATTGACCACAGGATACCACCCGGACATCTTTCAAAGCGAAATAGGAACGAGTTTACTGAGATTCTGATCCCTAGCTTCGGAGAGTTTTAACTTAGTCACAGGTTAACCAAATTTGGACTGAGTTATATTCTGTAAAATCTCAATTCCGATTCTGTATAAATGTGTATTTCTTTATGCGAAATTTGGGGTGTTAAACTATTGAAATAGACACAGAACAACGTTTACCTCTATTCGAGTCTACCGTCGTGTCACTACATCGGAAATCTCCTCGAATCGTTCAATAATGAAATTTAAAACTCGGTTTATACTTCGTTTTCCCAATGATATATCCCCGCTACATCCGTTTGCTGTCTAACTTCATCCGAAAGTGAAATCTGAGGAAAAGAAAGCTATGACCAGTGAGCCACAAGAAAGTGGCCTTTCCAAAAACCGCATGTCAACAGTACCAATTCTAAGAAACATTGATCGATTAATTGCGGCAGTCCAGGCAAAATGTTTCAAACTCTGAGGAATTACGGCATCGTTTGGTTGCAAACAATTCGTTACGTGCTTGATTTCAAAAAGACAAAATGTTCCGTCTTGAAACAGGAAGCCAATCAAACACGGATCCTCAACATTTTCAGTATTTAAATTTTTCGCAAAAGCACATACGTGAATCCATCCCGGAAGGAATTTACATCTTACATACCCAGTGAACGCTGAGTTCGTATAAATTTGATTTTCTTTGTGTTCTTCACTTTTAGTTCCTTTTATTGAAACAATGATTTTACTTTCAGTAATGGTAAATCATTCAATCAATGGGTTGCCCTATTACAACTCAAAGCATGGGGAGCGTCCGGTGGTTAGTGGAATTCGAATGCACATATCCTACGCGGTGGTGACCTTGACCACTGTACCACCACTGTATGAACTAAGAAACTGACAGTTGAGCACCATAGATCAAAATCATTTTGGCTATGCAGATATATGTAAACCCCAACTTGCACAGTTTCACCACTCTGTTTACCATTAAATCTATCTGCATTAGTTACCGAATACACGTGCTTATGGTGATGAAGTAACCAATAGTAACATTGGATTCCAAAAGAATCTAAGAACGAGGATGAAAATTTATACTCTATGTGATTGTTTATTAAATTCGTATGTGTCACACGAATGCTGGATTGGCAAAACAATATTTTATAAGTCAGGTCAATTTAAGAATGCACTTAATTCATCCATTGTGCATAGGATATTCAGGAGAGAAATGTTTTACTTTTCTTTGGCATACACGCTATTAAATTTGGTTTAAAGATACGACAAAAGGTATACAGAGGTCAATGAGGAGGAACCGAGAACGCATAACAAATGTAGAAAATTGAAGCGTGAAAATTTACGAGATGCTGTATTAGTTCGTTTGAAATTCCTTCCTTGGAAACTAAAAAACGTGAAAGGTGAGATACAACAGAACGGTGAAAAGCTGTGATACAAGTGTATAAAAGTTTAAATTTATTGAGGGTGACAGAATGTGAAATGGCGNATGGCGCGCGTGAGTAAGAGAGAGGGTTGCGTGTAAAGGATATGATGCATTTGACTGGATCGCGTCACACAGACGTTCACACGTCTCAAAGTGTTGCTTGACAATTTAATCAACCAGCGCCTCATAAGATACAGCTCCATATTGAGAGATGCTTTTCAGAGTGTCTGGTCAACATGAAACCCGTAGACAACAGACCGGGGAAGATAACGGGAGAGCAGTTGGTACAATTGCATAAAACACATGAGGAAATTAATTGACAAATGAAATGCGCAGAAAAATGATCGACCACAATCAAAAATAGCACCTCGCGAAATGTGTCTGCTGCCGATCGTTCCTCGCAGCTTCATTGCAATTCGTATGTATACGAAGCTACATAATGGAACGCTCTCCTGGTTTCAAACTGTCCCACTGGATTCCGTATGAATGACGCTTAATTGTCCGGTCACCTTTATAAATGCGCAGTTGCAATGCAAATGCAAATACCTTTATTCTGAGAACATCAGAATCCCCCCGAAGCCATTCAATCAGTGCAAACAAACCTTTGAGAATAAAAATATTTACCACAGACTGTTTGCAAGCCCAACCGGGCAAATTATCTCTACAGTGAATTGGTTATCTCGAGCTGACCTAACGGAGGCGCTTATTCGGGAAGTTTCTACTTGAAGTTTAAATGCGATGGAAATCCCTTTGGGGGTTGACAACGAGCACTGGACAGCTGTTTTGTCCTGTTTGGGACTGGACAGCAGTGCGTACCTTTGTGTCCCTGTGTCAGGACTTAAACCACAAACAGTTGGGTTGGGTCTTTAAACAACTCCCTCTGAGCTACACGGTCGGCGGTTGCCACCTTGTTCCAAAGGCTCANTGAACTTAAACCAAATGGGCTAATACAAGCGGCAAAAGTACATATTCCGGGTCAGTGGCGTTACGTCATTGCATTTATGCCATTTTTGAAGGAGGAGTACCAAAATTTGGCATATAGTCCAATGAAAAATAAGCGGTAGCACTGATCAAAAAGTGCTGATCATAAACAAAGAATCGATTATTTATAATCCACCAAATTTCGGAAAGTTGGGGCTAAATGTGGTTTTTCCCATAAAAAAAGTGATGGACAATCTGGAGTTCTCAGTGTAATTTTAAACCAGATCGCTAAATAATCAATATAGATTTCTGTGTTGCACTTGTCTATAGCGAACTAATGATCTAATATCCCTTTTTTTCTACACCTACACAAAGCCACTCGTCTCACTTATCACTGTTATTGTTTATTTCCATTCTGCAGATTATGCAATCGTTTCCGGAAAATGTTCGAGGAGATATTGCTCTGCATTTGAATCGGGAAATGCTTTCACTACCAATCTTCAAATCAGCCAGTCCTGGGTGTCGCAAATGTCTAGCTCAACTGATAACAACCCGTTTTGCAACACCCGGAGAGTATTTGGTCAACCGAGGTGACCTGCTCCGTTACATCTTTCTTGTGTGTAGTGGATCTTTGGAAATTCTTGGCCCTGAAGGAACGGTTGTCGGTTTGCTGGGTTAGTTGTTNTGTTATTGGTATTACTATACCCGGGACCAAATTATTCGCATAAATCAAGTCATTTTTCCGTTTACGCACTTGTAATACCGAGTATTTCATTGAATTACGACCTATCTAATCTAGTTTGCGTAATAGAAAAGCACATCCACGTGACATATTATTCCTGTTACGATAGATTCCGGATTTGGTTCAGCGCATCAGACAACAGTATCACACCCCAGCCCGACCTTCCTCCCCGCGCCCGAATCGACTGCACTTCTGATAGTGTAGACTCTGCTAGAAGCAAAATAGAATACCAGGACAAAATTTGCATTACAAATAACCCATCGACTGTCTTTTTCATGCACGCTTTTTGGCTCTGCCATTCAAGTGGACTGATTATATATTTCCCTCTATCAGACAGCAACATTGAAAAGTTGATGGTTATATACAGTGAAACGGAACTGCGTCCCCCAGTCACGGACAGTTCCAGACGATGTTATGCTGTTGGAGAACTGATTGACTGACTGAGTGGTTTTCAACTCATTGTATGTTAGATTCGCGTGCTAATTTTCGGCTAAAAGTCTATGGGCGCTAGCTGGTATTGATTGTGTGACTTGAATTCGACGGAGTTTTGGAGGAGCCCCGGAGAAGTTGGTTTTATTTGACTGAATCAGGTTGTGAGACATGATCTTTACTCGGTAGGTCAGAGCATTCCTAACGGGATGACCTTTGCCTTCATCCACCTACACCCGTCTTTCTGCCAATTCCGCTATCTCAACTACCCCAATTCCCCAATCATGGCACTCCACTTTCATGCCCAGAAGATAAACCTAACGGCAGTTTAAAGGTATTTATTAGACAAAACGCTGAAAGGGGCTAAACGGTAGATGTATTACTTGTATAGATAACAAATCGGACAGTTGGATGGAAATGTTTGATAAACGGGAAAGGATTATTTTACTTTTCTATTATAATTAATTTATTTTTGTTCATTTACTCTTGCCGATTCTTCTGGGGTGATAAAATATTCAAGAAAACACTACAAAACCCTGGTTTATACCTGATGCACCCACTTCTGCTGATTTGTGTCCGTAACCAGTTTCCCAAATCTGAATAGCTGTCGATTTCTAAATTGAGATTGATCTTTATCCTTCGTTGCTGCATGTTTCAACTCTTCAGATTGAGGGAATCGATGTACAAGATTCGTGTAGTTGAAAACCCGTGGGTCAGTTCTCATTCGCAACTCAACCCGAATAGTTGCTTTCAACCTCAGAGTTAGCATTGCAAATACATTATGAATGTCTAACACTATGAAGCAAATACGAGATAAAATAGAGCGATGGCACAATCACATAAGGGTTTCAAAAGAAACGATGTCAAGTGTCACAGTCCCTCCCCTCATGCAGGACACACGTTTAGCCGACGGCCAAGTGTTCGGAAGATAACAGTCCAACGTACACATAGGTTTGAATCAAAGAGAACCTCGTCGTTTGCATGACGATTATACGTTTCAACCAAACAGCGAGATTTATACGATCACTCTATGTGCCAGACGGGTAGAACCCTAATCGAATCAGGAAGAGAAGTGATTCTGCCCCCCCCCCTCGTGTTATCAAATGATGTGAAACTCTAATTTTTTTGTACAGTTTGTAGTCTCATCAGCTACTTGCGCTTCTCCTGAAAGCTTGTGTTTCACATAACCTATTTTTAAGCATCATTCTAGCGCATTTCATCACAAACGGGTTAGATTCAAACAGGGCCACAGCAACAACCCCGTTCCAGACTGCAGTATTACGTTTTAGGTGTGTTGGTTGTACACGTAGGTGGAATTTTAATGAACTATTGAGAAAGATTTTGATACACCGGTTCTAATGTACCTTCCATTTTATTTTGTTTCATTTCGAATCTGTCATTATGAGTTCTCATTCTACTATCTCCATTTTATATCTTTTTCCAGCTTAAGATGCCACACCTTCAATTTAAGATGTCCGACTATCAATTTAAGAGGTCATGTTGTTGTGTGGATAACACGATAGTACGATTGCTTCATTGTTTCACATTGTCTTGTACTTTTTGGATGCTCCTGTTGTCACGTCCAGTCCATCCGTGTGGTCGTGGCATACCTTCTGTGAGGTCGAAGTTCATTGGGTCTACTAAAGACTCGCGGCTGTAGACAAGGTGTGGATTCTCGCTCGGGTTAGCTGAGGAAGCACCAGGTCCCTTGTTACGGCTGAACTATCAAACTGATCGATAAATGAACCCGATCGGTCGTGTAATTTTCGGGTCCGCATAGAAGGTGGAAAAGTTCGGAATACGAGTCTGCTTAACAGCTGGTAGAGAATCACCCCAGGAGAATCAACTGTGGAACGATACAACATGTGGGAAATTGGGAATGGAAGATTTCAATCGATGATAACACTGGGTCAACGCTTGCCTTGTCTAAGATACAAAAACTAGTTTTCTAAGTGGGTTCAGTAAACGGATAATTATATCAAAACATTGAGCTTGTCCTAAGTTTCGCCTTCGTGAGTTTGATCTAAGTATTTGGTATTTACCATCCACTGCAGTTCCCACTCCCACTCCACTTATCATATCTAGCTTATTCTTCTTCATCTACTGCTGCTGCTGTGCCATTATGATTGAGCAACGCACATTTGTTTCTCTTCCTTAATCCTCTTCATTGTTAATTTTATCCAGTCCCAGTCAATTTACGTAGCATCGTTTCTCATCCATTTAGTTTAATGTTTAGTTTCATGTTTCACACAAATATCTCCGTTTCTACTTCTTTCTCAAAGCGTACCAGGACGACATATTTAATAGCTTGTGATTTCCTACTGACTGGGGCATTCAACGACACGCGGATGGAGACGATACAATGCTCAATCCTTAAAGCTTGTTGTCAGACTCGTATAAAGAAATACGTGTCTCCCAAGATGGGAGTCAGATAGTGAGCTTTATTTCATATCTTTCAAATCCACTTGCTTGATAAGCCCACAGTGAATAATCGACCCATTCAGGAGGAGCGTCGTCGGTCTGAGAGTGAGAGAGAGAGAGTAGGCCCATAGGCGAATAGATCATCGCTCATTTAGGTAGACATTCACATAGTAGTGGAATTACATTTGATTGCTTAATGATCATATTTTATGATCACATCCTTTCAAAATGACATGCTGCAATATGGCAAACTGTCCACGATATGAAACCAAACACATTTAGCCTGAGATACATAGAGTGTGTGATAAATGAAGCACAATACGATTAATGATAACCCTAATAATAATATGGTCTTATTTATAAAAAAAATGTTTGGGCATATTATGTTCATTCGAGCTAGACCGTAACCTCGGGCAGTTCTTGCGCAAATGGATATGAGTTCAATAGACAGTAGGGAATAACAAGTTGTATTGGAATTGTTGTGTTTTGAAATATAGCAAGTCAAACGTTTGACCATATATGATTGACATCCGTCCCAGTTGAGGTTCGTCATTTTCGTTTCAATCTAACGGCCAGCTGTGTCACGTGCATCCGAGCATAGGTGTTGACGACAAGCCAAGGGAGACCGTCGGACGGATCATTTGTTTCCTAATTACGTTACATCCGTGGACGTTTGAGTCTCTCGGTAGCTCTTGTTTGCAAATAGTCCGTACGGGTATGGTGTACATGTGGGAGAATAAATCACTGCTACAAACCAATAAACTGAAAATGGAAAAACAATCCATCTCTAGTGTGGGTCATTCGAAATATATGACGAAGGACCCGCGGCCGCTGTGATTGGTAAACTGGACTATTGGGAATAGCAGTTCCCTTGGGGACGAATAGTAGTGCATGTGTGGCAACAATAATGGTCCACCACTATTAACCAAACAACCCGATCCCAAGTGCTTTCATCATGCCACGGTCAAAAACAGAGGTCAAGAGAACAGGAGTTTGGTGAATGAACCAAGCAATGGAGCTAGATCGGAGTTAGACGTATGGGCATATATTTGGAGCACTAGTGACCCGATTTATTTGTTCGTTCAAGAAAACCTGTGCACTTTCATACCCTCTCTTGACAAGCGGTATGATGAAACTCAGCTTACCCTGCGATTTTTGTTTAGTTGTCGCACCGGTCTGTTTGGTAGTGTTTTGTGATGTTCTCCAATCTGTCGATGAGATAGCTATAGAAATCCACCTACATATATATGCGACTTGATCTTACCTACCTTCGCACCGGTTCGACTCTGAATTTTGGTTGTTCATTTTCCTGTTCCAACACAACCCTTGCGAAAATCCACGATTCGAAATGCATTGTTTATATGTATGTTGTGTCCTTGTTTAAGTAGGCAGATAAGCACGCAGGGAATTAAGCAGCGTGTTGAGGGCACACATGTAGCCGGTCGATAAACCGGTGAGCAAGCGAGAACAATCAATACGTATGAAGGCAGGCAGGCAGGCAGGCAGGCAGGC